GCAGCAGGGGCAGACATCTCACCTGGGGCAGGAGTCAGCCCCCTCAGCACAGGTGGCTGACTGGGGCATGACCTTGAGCTGGACTGAGAGCCCAGCAGAGAAGTCCATTTCAGCCACTCTGCTTGCACAGAGTGGTCAACCAGCCAGGCCAGGATGCGCAGCCTCCTCTGCGCCACCTCAGGGGAGCAACAGCAGGCCTCTTGGGGGCGCCATGCAGGGCACTGAGGCTCTGGTCAGTCTCGGTCTCTTTACGGAAGAGGGCATGCCTGGGGTGGGTGTGGGGGTGACACGGACCAGCAGTCAGGGTGCCAGCTTCAGAGAACCCAGCAACAGGGCAGGGGTCGAAGGGCATCAGGAGCAGCACAATCTGTCTCCCCTCCCGGGCGTCTGACCCAGATGGGTTAAATCCCCCTCTTGCTGGTCTGAGGGAGAAAGCCAACAACCTGTGCAGGGAGGGCCTCAAGCAAAGGTGGAGTGTCCCCGTTCCCCTGCTCACTGCTCTCCTGAATCCCACCTGCCCAAACGCTGGGGCCCTTCTCTCCCTCCATCCCCGCTGGCCTGGAAGAATATGGTAAAGGATTTCTCAAGGAGCAGCCTAAAGGATAATTAGACTCAAGGTTTCTCCCCTGGAGAGAATCTCTTTGCTTAGGTTTTTTTCCTCCTCTGGGAATTTAACTGGGAGCAGTACAGAGAGAAGCAGGCTCCAGGGGCCACCCCCGGCTGGCTGAAGGGGAGTGGGTGAGAGTACTCCGGGTCATGAGGGCCCAGGGGCTGTCCAAGTGCACACCATGGGCCAGCCACCCACTAAGTGGGCCTGCAGCGCTGGAGGGGGGGTGTCTCCCATCCTGAGGCCTCACCTCACCCAACCTCACCTCTGGCATTCGCATCCTTAGAGAGGCCCCAGAGGTTCCATTTGCTTCTGGAGTATGCCAGAGGCTCCTCCATTAACTCAGGGTGACTGCACCCTCTAGGATCCTGGCGCCCAATGTGCGCAGATTAGCTCCAGACCACCCTTTACCGTGGG